AATAATAATTACAATCACATAAAATTTGTATATAATTGAGAGTTGAGATTGAATGTATATATTTTATTTGCTTCTTTTAGCTCTGAATTGTTAATTGGAGAAGAGAAAGCGAAACAGCATTTCCATGGAATCACAAAGAAAAAGGATTATGCCAAAAGCATCGAATACATAGTAGGTACACATAAAATGTAGTGGCTAGCATAATAACCATTGAAAAAATAAGCATACTAATTAATAATTGGATACACAATGATCTGCTACGCCAACGAAAGTATATTAACGTACGTACAGCACAGTAAGTGAAGCCTTTTATTTCATTTTTCTCTCGCCAAAAAAAACAAGAAAAAAGTCACCCCAGAAAAAAAAAAAAAAAAGGATTCCTTACGGGTGCAATAATAATTTGTTGTGAAGTGCAACTGCTTCGCCTAGCTAGACCTAGCTAGCTAAGATAGATCTTTACTTCCAGACGCCGATTCAGGTTCCGGTGGGAAAAAGATACCGAGGGTTGCGTCTGGCTTGGAACAAATCTTTCCTTACCTTCAAAAATTTAGGTGAGTATTTTAGTTGCTTTACATTTCTTTGAAGTTAAAAGATTGTATCTATTGTTAAATAGATATAGCTAGGTAAATTAGGGAGTCTGTTAGCTGATTTAAAGATTTATATTTTATAATTTAATAAAAAAATTTTAAAATAAATTTAGTATAATTTAAATTAATTGGATGGTAAGTTTTTTTTTAAGATCTATCTTAATTCTTTTAATATAAAACTTATTTTATAACTTTTTAAATATTAAATTCTTATTAGATATAAAAATTTTAACCACTCTAATACTTAAAAATTTTATCATAAAAATAGTAATTTTGTATAGAGAATAGTATAAAGCAGATTGTTTTCTAAAGGTATTTTTAGAGTATATGTTTAAAAACTTATATTCTAATTAATATTTTTAAAAAGTAATTTTTAGATTAAAAATTTTATTTATATAAATCATGTACATTAATTTTTATATTAATTTAATACTTATAACTATTTAATCAAAAATAACTTTATTTATTGACATATATTTAATAATTTTAAATTTTTTATAATTAACAAAGTAGTTAGATATTCTAAATTAATATAAAAATTTACATACATGATCTATTTAAATAAAAGTTTTAATTTAATAATTAGTTTTTAAAAATATAAATCAAAAAATAAATTTTTAGACATATCTTCTAAAAAAAACTACAAAACAATCCATAAAATACTTTTCTCTTTTGCATATATGCAATTTATTTTTT